ATCGACAACCCCGAGTACAAGGGCGAGTGGACCGTGAAGCGAATCTCCAACCCTGCCTACAAGGGCTTCTGGGAGGCCAAGAAGATTGCCAACCCTGAGTACGTCGATGACGACAACCTGTACAAGTACGATGACTTCGGCTTCATCGGCTTTGACTTGTGGCAGGTCAAGGGCAACACCATCTTCGACAACGTCATCATCACCGATGATGTAGCCTGATTGAATTTGAAGCCCAATCGTCCCGAAGCCAGGTGTCAGGGGTTAGGATGGACATGAGGAGTGAAGGCCCGGCACGGGGAGGGATGAGGCTTGTTGGTTTTTTTTGTAGAAATCGCCGCCAAGTCTTTGTAAAGGCTCAGACGGAAGATTCAACACCCTCGCCCGAAACGTTACCTTCTTGAGCCTCAAAGAGCAGGAAGAGTCATAGCATAGGGGCCTAAATAAATACCTATACTATTTTGGGGTTCCTTATTATAAGTATAGTGTAATGAGTATAATATACCCAAAACCCTATAATTGTTCAGGCCCCTATGTTAGACACCCGATGCCATCTCCCCCAAGTCATAAACGGAGTTGCAAGACTCAGTCATTATGTCTCAAAGAGCTTGTAGAAAGTAGTGGTAGATTTGCCCCAAAACCTATTCACTCTCTGTGTGCGTTCGCAGCTCAAGAACAGGACATTGTAACCCTCATATAAGCACTTACATCATGCAACCGAGTAGTAGAGTAGGCAACCTTTAACCATTCTGAAGTACTTTAACCCCTAAACCCTAACCCCTAAGCCCTTAACCACTATACTACATGAAAGGGGAACTTTCAGTTTCTCCTTGATACTGGACAAGTAGGGCAATGCTCCTGGAAGCCACATCCCGGTGGGTTTAGGGTTGAGGGCTTAGGGGTTTCGGATTTAGCTTAGGGCTTAGGGTTTAGGGTTTAGTTTTCGGCCGCTGTACCCAAACCCTTCAAGCCTTGGCCCTAACGCTAAGTCCCGAAGTCAACTGCTGCGCCCGGGTCCCTTTATTTCACCTTATGAAACCTTACCCTGAACCCTAAACCCTAAACTTTAAACCCTTCTGAAACCCATACAACCCGGGACAAGAAGTAAAGGCACCCTCACAAAACCTGCTATAGAATTCTGTATGAAGCCTCCCCCCCCTCCCAAGCCTCAGTGGTCTGAAAAAGCCAGGAAATATCTGAAACCCTAAAACCCCAAACTCAAGCCCTAAGCCCTATACAGTTTAGGGTCTAGGACCTCTAGGATCTAGGGTTTAGGGTTTAGGGTAGGGTTTAGGGTCTAGGGTTTGGAGTTTAAGGTTTAGGTTTAGGGTCTCGGGTTAAGGATATCTAGGCCCTACATATACCCTGAACCCAGGTCAAGGAAGCAGATGCTTTCGTGGAGAAGTGGAAGGCCCTGAGCGAGGTTGAGAAGGCAGGGTCTCAGACGTCAGGATGTTCTGCGCTTTAGGGTCTAGGGTTAGGGGGAATATAGACATCATTCATCACACGATGGAATCGGGTATGTTACTTGAAGGTGTCACACTTTGAAACGGGGTTTGGGGTTTGGTGTTCGGGGACTCGCAGGGGTTCTGTTTGCGTTTTGAACTACTCTACCTGGGCTTGTGACGCTGATCATCTGACTTGTAACATGCCGCAATCAACCCTAAATCCTAACCCCCCCCAATATCTAGAGCTCTCTAGGCATCAGAAGGACTCAGAGCCCAATTTTCAGATTCACTGCTCGAGGTTAGACGACCTCAGTGTTTTAGGGTTCCGGTGTTGGGCTTCTAGGGCTTAGGGAGGGTTTCGGGGTTTAGGCTTCGGCGGTTTCAGTGCTGAGCTCGTCGTTGGTTTGGGGTCGCTGCTTGTTTCGAAAGGCGGGGGAAGTTAGGGCCTCAGTTGCAGCATGTCAGAAGGGAGTTTAAGCTTGATTGTTTATTCGTTTATGAATGATTAAGCACCTGATTTATCAACTCCCTGCTGTAAATGCCTGAATCCCCGGACTACTTCAGGACCGGTTGATGAGGGGACCTGGGTGCAGAGGATTGCGGTGTCGGGTGTACGGAGAGCACCATCTTCCTTAAATGCTTCAAGTTCTGAATGCCCCTTAGGCTTTAGGGTTTAGGGTTTAGGGTTTAGTCCTGATTCTGATGCAAGGTGTCTTGCTCAGATGATGGGCACCGCAAGCCCCAACCCCCCAGAAGCTAAAATCCGGACCTAGTCTTTCTAAAGCCTAAGCCTAGAAGCCCAAAGACTGTGAGAGCCGGGTAGTTCTCTAAACTGGGGCCCCTGTTAAGTCCCCAATATAGTAAGGCACCCTTGTGAAAAGGACTCCCAAAAGGGACTCTAATTTAAAGATCTACCCCCTTCAGCACCATCTTCTATGGTAGCTGAGCCTTGAACCGTACAGCTTTCCCACTTCAAGAGCTTGCAGGGCCTGGTGTCCACCCTTTGGGTTTGTGTTCCGGGGTGAGTCTCAGGCCAAGAAGAAGGAGGAGGACGACAAGAAGGCTGAGGCAGACACCTAGGGATTTGGTCCTAGGGTTTAGGGTTTAGGGGTTTAGGGTTTAGGGGTTTAGGGTTTAGGGGTTTAGGGTTTAGGGTTTAGGGTTTTGATTTGGTGCATCTTTGTTCTGCTATCGGTGAGCCCTTGCTTAGAACACGCTTGTGGCTATGGCGTATAAAGCTTGTGCCGGTGGAGCTATTGAGCTTCACGAGCAGTCCTCCTCTTTAGTTCAGGTTTTGGGCTATTGTTCCTCCGATGATATCTTGAACTGCCACCTGTATCATGTTGCATGTGAGCTTCGTAGAGTCGTAGATTACTCCGCCGTTAGCATATCTTCATCTCGTGGAGTGGATCGTAAAAGATTATAGTGAGCCCTTGACACCGCACCCGTAGCCGGGATCTAAACCCTAAGCCCTAAACCCTAAACCCTAAACCCTAAACCCTAAACCCTAGTTAAGTTACGTAACGCGAACATCCGTCAGTTCAGCTCTGTGGCTGCATTGCCCAGGGACCCAAAGTCATGAACTGTAAACTCCGCACTCTCAATGCCAAAGCCTAGCCTAGATGCAGGGGACGTTTGGGGTTGATATTGATAGGTTTAGGGGTTCAGGTTTATAGAGTTTTTGGATTGATGTATGACAATTTGGGGGTTTGTTTAGGGTGTTACTATAGGGTCGGATTAGATATCAGTCCATATTGATGAGCCCAAGCAATGTTCTAAGTACCAAGGCCCCTGTATCACACCACGGAATCTAGATCGCATTAAACACGTTCAAGAAATCCAAGACGAAGAGTAAAAGACCCGAGGCTTGAAAGGAAATCACAATACCGCTAATTCATTCAACACCTGAGCTTGAGTCCTAACCCTTACAAAATCCCAATGCCAAACCCGATACTCCTAAACCCTAAACCCTAAACCCTACTTCCTAAACCCTAAACCCTAAAGCCGAAACCCTAATCCCGAAACCCGAAGCATCCCTAAACCCGAAGCATCCCAAAACCTGGAAATCCTATGCGGACAGGAAGCCAAAGCTGCGAGTGCATCTGCCTCCACGGACGATGACGATGACGCCGCTTGCACGGTTTAGGGTTTAGGGTTTAGTGCTGGGGCTCGTCTTAAGCCCTACCTACTAGATAGCCTCCATTGTAGTTCCTTTTGGGGTTACTTCAAAATCCCAAATAGACAGTTGGTAAACCTTAGAATGGAGACTACAGGCGGTGTTAGATTTAAAGTTGTTGGTGTTTCTGGTGTCTTGGGGAGAAGGCTTCCTGGGGTTGGAGGGTATTTGCAGTTTCTGAGGTTGGTGATTCGGGTTTAGGGTTTAGGG